GCGGCAGCGGCGGCTCCGGAAAGTTCCGAGGAGGACGGGGAACGTCACGGCTTCCTGATCCTGAGCAGGGAGGACTCCACCATGGTACGGGGACATTGGGGACAGTGGGGACATCACAGGGTCACAGGGACAGGGCTTCCTGATCCTGAGCAGGGAGGACTCCAACATGGTGAGGGACATTGGGGACATTGGGGACATCGGGGACAGTGGGGACAGTGGGGACATTGGGGACATTGGAGACATCAGGGACAGTGGGGACATTCGGGACATCAGGTACAGTGGGGACATTGGGGACAGTGGGGACATTGGGGGAATTGGGGACATTTGGGGACATCGGGGACACTGGGGACATTCGGGACATCACAGGGACATCAGGGACAATGGGGACATTGGGGACATCACGGGGACATCAGGGACATCGCAGGGACAGGGTTTCCTGATCCTGAGCAGGGAGGATTCCACCATGGTGAGGGGACATTGGGGACAACGGGGCCATTGGGGACAACGGGGGGATTGGGGACATTGGAAAGATCATGGGGACTCTGGGGACATCATGGGGACATTGGGGACACTGGGGACAATGGGGACATCACAGGGACAGGGCTTCCTGATCCTGAGCAGGGAGGATTCCACCATGGTGAGGGGACATTGGGGACAACGGGGTTGTTGGGGGACACTGGGAACAATGGGGACAGTGGGGATACTGGGGACACTGGGGACATTGGGGACAGCACAGGGTCACAGGGATAGGGCTTCCTGATCCTGAGCAGGGAGGACTTGACCATGGAGAGGGACACTGGGGACATCGGGCACAATGGGGACAGTGGGGACATTGGTGACAATGGGGACATCACAGGGACATGGGGGACATCACAGAGACATAGGGGACATTAGGGACAGAGACACCCCTTGATCCCTCTGGTGTCCCCATGTTCTCCGATGTCCCCAATATTCCAATGTCCCCCAATGTCCCTGATATCCCCATGGTCTCCCAATGTCCCCTCTGTCCTCATTGTCCCCAATGTACTCACTGTCCCTAATATCCCCACTGTCCCCATTGTCCCCTATATCCCCAATATTCCCAATATCCCGAATGATGTCCCCATTGTCCCCAATGTCCTTGCTGTCCTTAATGTCCCTGCTGTCCCCAATGTCCCCAATGCTGTCCCCAGATCCTGCAGACGGGCCAGGAGATCCTGGAGCTGGACACGAGCGGCTTCGCCACGCAGGGACCAACGGTGTTCGCCGGGAACCTGGGACAGGGACAATTCATCGTGCAGGTGTCACCGCTGGGACTGCGGCTGCTGCAGGGGGGTGAGTGACA